GGCAATGGGGGATAGTTTAGATCCGCAATCGTAAACATTTTCAACATTCAAAATATTTGATAAAAATACCGACAAGCCTGTTTTGTTTACCTGTCAGTCTGCCTGTACAACACAAAATGCACCCTCCGCTGTACCATGTTTATCAGTAGTTGCAGGTGTGTGGCCGCTTACATGACTGACTGTCAAAACAGTGGTGTTTATTTCACTGAAATTGATTTGATGGGCTGTCAGCTGGTGTCGCTAATGATAATATGTTACCTACACGGAGGATGGATAAAAGTATATCTACAGTTTAGACATATCCATACATTCAGCTTTAGAACAGTTCATAGACTTGCATAATTATATGTGAATTACTAGCTTAAATAATAAAATTCTAGATTAGATAAATAAAAAGATCAAGATGTCCCTATAAAAGGCTGTCGTCCTTGCACTGTCCGCTCATCTAGACTTGCCTCTTTAAAATATAGAGTCACTTTAGATTTTAAGGAGGGGGGGGGGGTTTCACCCATTTTGTTCTGGGGAGGTAGGTGGGTCAGTGATTTTGTACACTTAAATATTTAAAACTCATGAGAGACATTATTGGAAGAGGGAGTGGGTTATTGATTTTGTACATGCCATGCAGACATGCAGGAGGAGGGGGGTCGCTTAATTACATTGTACATAAATTTTAGAGGGGGGGGGCATTTACATTGTACATGCTTCCCCATAAAAATCATCATTACTCCCCCTAGCCATAAATTCCGAACGGTTCCTTACATGCATGGACTTGTAGTAGCAGGGCTAAGCTAAAGTCAGGCTTCATCTTATTGAGATTAGACACCCTATCCACTGTGTCGTTTCATGTTGTCATGGTTTTGTGCAATAATCAAGTGTACTTACGATTTGTGACACTAACAAGTGAAAAGACAAAAGTGTCATCAAATATACGAACTTCAGTTCCGGATCAAGTGATTCGAATGATTTCGCCATTACATAACACTCCAAACCACATGTTTGCTTATTGAGATATCCATTGAAGTGTGCGAAGGCCTGTTACAGAGACCCTGCATTCAGTGATGAATCTGCACAGAAACTCGCAGTTGGTCAGTAAATAAAAATAGGTGTTCTCTGCTTGCATATAGGGTCACCAATCTATATTTTATCAAAGACCATATACCATGGTCTCTGATTTTACTGACCAATTATGAGTTCCTGTATAAAGTGACCTTGACCTTACGACCTTCACCCCGAGTGATAGACGTGTATTCATCTTCATGACAACATACCATATAGATTTCGGCATTCTGTCGCATAAATGAGCCAGGTGTGTTCACCATCCATCACAGCCGCTATATATAGAACCAACATGCCAGAAAAACGCATTTGTAATCGTAGGAAGTGACAGGAATAGTGGATTGACATATTAATCAGTGGTAGTTCCATTTTTCGAGATAAAAGAACAATATGCCTATTGGACAATGAAATATGTCAGTAGTTCAAATGTTGGTCGCCGTGTTTCTGTTCATATAATGTAATCATTAATTTTAATATATCGAGTCTGTATGTAACATGTAATGCCGATGCGACGTAAAATCTCAACTCACTCACCCAACTTGTACTTATCGTCCTTCTGTGAGTGAGTGAGTGAGTTGAGATTTACGCCGCACTCAGCAATATTCCAGCTATATGGTGGCGGGAACCGATGACAGCGACCAAGTCAACGAGCCAGACCACCCATCCCGTTAGTCGCCTCTTACACCAAGCATGGGTTACTGATGGCCAATATTCTAACCCGGACCTTCACGGGTGTACTTCTTTGAATATTTCATGAAACTCACACACTATAAATGCTGGCTAAAGTAGTTGCTATATAATATATGAAGTCTGGCATATCTTTCATTTTATTAATTAATTGTTTCCTGATAAAATTCAAAATTTCAATCTTCTTCTGATAACATTTGTTGAAATATTACTTAATTGTATTTCAAATTTGAATCAAAGCATCGCTTATTCTTCTTACACTATAATAATAACAACAACAATAAGAATATCCGGTTCCCGAGGACGAAGACATCCAACTGTGGAGTACTCAGTGAAAAGTGTTTACTTTGAAATTGACATTGAATATTTATGACGCATAACCCCGTATTAAATGCTATGTCGCAGTACTGATTTCTTTTTTCAAAACGACCTAGTTTATGACAGAGTAGGCGTAAAAACTTATACGTGGGCATGCGAGTATCGATAATAGTCTTAAGGTGTTTTTTCAGAACAAAAATGTTGTATGTGCTGGAACCCTATTGTAAACTCTGAATTAATTAGTTAAAGGCAAGACCACTGCAAAGGGAATGAGATTTGATCTACTGTGTAGATAATAACTGATATGGTAATGACATTACTAACATAACGGTAACCCGTCTCTGTAATCCTGTCAACGGAGACTATATGAACCTGTGTTTATATGATACTTATGAATGACTCATAAACCATGCCGGAAGCAATGCCGACTCCAGACCTCAACACCGCATGACCTAAAGGGTCATCACACAACGTCATGAAGTAATCTTGGGAAGGGGGTGATATACGGGTTGTTACAAGCTACCGTCATGTTCTGTGTGATATACAAATGTGAAATACACTCTTTAACACCCAGCTGTCATCGGCCCAGATACGTGCAGCCATGATATACGAAGTGTAATGTACACATATGATGTACTCACTGTTACACACCACTGTTATATACGACAATGTTATATTAGGTCTGTAACATGCAGATTAATGTAACGTATATGTTCTGTAACAGGTACTTGTATTACGCGTGTTTAAAAATACAGCTGTGTTACACGAGGTCTGTAACAAGCAGCAGTGGCACAGTAACATTCAGTAACATGTAGCCGTGATATATGGTCTGTTACATGTACGTCCTATCTCCTCTGATACTTGCGGCTTGTACAATGTACATGGTGTATATACAAGCTGTAACAAGCAGCAGTGGCACATAATTACATTCAGTAACATGCAGCCGTGATATATGGTCTGTTACATGTACGTCCTATCTACTCTGATACTTCCGGCTTGTACAATGTAAATACTGGCTGTAACAAGCAGGATGGTATAGAACCGAGCTGTAGCATGAAACAGCATACGGCCTGTAGCATACACAACATACGATCTGTGACAAGCAACCCTGAAACGCGGGCTGAAACAATCAGGTGTTATATCCAAACGGTAAAAAAGGAAAAGGGATATACTATATGCCTGTTACAATCAACAATGATATATAGCCTACAGCATCCACTTTGGCATACGCCCTGTGATATACGGGCTGTAACAGGTAGGTGCAGTATACTGGCTGTAACAGAGAGGATATACTATATCCCTGTAACACACAACAATGATATATAGCCTACAGCATATACTATATGGCACACGCCCAATGATATACGCATCTACTTTGTAACAGACATACGGGCTGTAACATACAGTATACTGTAACAGAGGGGGGTAACATATGATATATATGTACAGCCTGTAACACACAACAATGATATATATATATACAGCCAATACAGCATCCACTTTGGCATACGCCTGTGATATATACAGAGTGGACAGAGAGGATATACTATATGCCTGTAACACTCAACAATGATATATATACAGCATCCTACTTTGGCATACGCCCTGGCATACAGCCTGTGAGGTGCAGTATACAGGCTGTAACAGAGTGGATATACTATATGCCTGTAACACACAACAATGATATATAGCCTACAGCAGCATCTACTTTTGCATATACGGGCTGCCCAGAGTGGATATACGGTAACACTCAACAATGTAACACAGCAGGTGCAGCCTGTGATATACGGGCTGTAACAGAGAGGATATACTATATGCCTGTAACAATCAACAATGATATATAGCCTACAGCATCCACTTTGGCATACGCCCTGTGATATACGGGCTGTAACAGTAGGTGCAGTATACAGGCTGTAACAGAGAGGATATACTATATGTAACACTCAACCTGTAACATACGGGCTGTAACAGCAGTGATATATAGCTCTGTAGCATCCACTTTGGCATACATCCATTTTGGCATACAGCCTGTAACTTGTAACCGAGATATGCGAGATGTAACAAACTGAGGTGGTTCAAGAGCATAACTAACCAAATATCTACAGGGAACGTGATAAATGGAAGGTATTAACACTGTGATCAGAAGCCGAGGCAGTAATCCTTCATATATTAGAGCCTGCTACGATGTTATTTAGTAGATAAAGGTGATATTTATGGGTCATGGGGAGATGGATGACCCGCGTTCGTTAGAGTGGCATGTGGTGTTAGTTCTTGTATTTCGATCAACAAACTGATAGTAAGGGGTTATTACTTTGGGGGCAGGAGGCGAGGCAAGTTGCTGTTATTAAATAAACTGAATACTGATTATGACTACATATAAATCAAAACATACGGGAAGAAAGATATGAATGTGTTTTCAAAACATATTTACGTTGGCATGAATATAGATGATATGTTTGTGTGACGAAAGAGCGGTTTTTGCATTGTGGGAAATCAAATATACGGGGAATGTTGACTATTGGTTATTGAAATTTGCTGATAAAGAATTATTCAGGTAGTAGATAGGCAATATATATACGAGATGATAAATAGACTACTTACATGTAAGATTAGAAATCGTCAGCTGACATTACACAGTTTAAACATTTAATATTCGATGTAGTAAACTTCATTATGTTATATTTGATAAATTGGAAAAAATCAGAATTAATTAAATATTATAGAATAGTAAAATGTAAGTAAAGTAACATACCGGGTACCGTTCGCTGATACATACAAATGAATGGTATCTATTCACTTTGGAATCCACGTCTATTTGACAAGGGTTGTTGAGCGATAGGTGTACAGAACACATTCCACGCTTCTACCAGAAGAAAATAAGTATATTCTAATAATTACATGTTTCGAAATGAGTACATTCAGAGATGATTGTTTCTCACCTGTCAAGGTATGGGTGTGACATCCTCATCTCAGGTGTAAACACGATCCGAAAGAAATATCATCTGACAAAACCACAAACCTCGACTGTCGCTCAACACCCAAGGGGCATAACCCAAACCCTACTGAGACAACACCACGCTCGACTGACCGCAAATATTTAACAAACGAAAATAATACACACTCAGTGATAAAGTTGCACTGGATGTATATCCGCCAGGTAACCTGGCCTTTTGATCTTACCGCGGTGACATTTTAGTTTAAGGTGGAAATACGAGTAAACTACACTTTTCAACTGACCTTTAGGATACGTTAAAACACTAAAATACCAAGAAGGATGTCACGTTGAGTGTACCTAGCTGCCCCGGGCTAAATGCTACACTAACAAATATAGGCCTGTCAGTGATTTCTATGGAGTCAGTACTTTGACTTAATGCTTATAAACACCTGTAAATTTGACCTGAGTCACTCACGGATTAATGGGTCAGTTCCAAAAGCTGTGAAAAAAACAAACTTAATAGCTGATATTGTCAATAACTCCCAAATAGGAAATTTTAAAATGATTGCATTCCTATTGTGTTCGTCACTATGGCTTATACAAATAGCCATCACTGTATTATTTCCACGTTAGATGGTATGACTTGACGTTTTGTATACACCTGTCAAAGGCGTGTGTTAGTCATAACAGTTTGTGTGACGGGGTGTACTCCGTGTAAAGGGGCGGCCGTGATCGCACGGATTAAAGCTGTAATTCTAACTTTCAGAAACTAATGTACACTTTGCCTATTGCAGGTGTCAGGCATACAATGCTTTAATGTAGACCCTTTATACATGGGAAGACGAGAGAAAATCTCTGGGAACTCGTTCATGCTGCCCTATATTCTTTATGATTAAGACTGACTGACTGACTGAGTTTGGTTTTACGCCGCTTTTAGCAATATTCCAGCAACATCACGACGGGGGACACCAGAAATGGGCTTCACACATTTTACCCATGTGGGGATTCGAACCCGGGTCTTCGGCGTGACGAGCCAACGCTTTAACCACTAGGCTACCCCACCGCCCCTATGATTAAGATGATGCGAACACCATGACCATATGGCAATCTCCAGCTAACGGTAAAGGGGCCCCGTTTCACAAAGCGATCGTAGCGCTACGACTGTCGTAGGTCTGTGTTAAAGTATGGGAGTTACGATCACCTTAGCGCTAGGTGTTCGGTAAAAAGGGTCCCAGTAAAAAGTCCTAAAGTTGGTGTAAAAAGTCATCCGGAAAAAAAACCCCTTTTCATTTTCTAACAAGAAATGTATAGAAACCCAAATCCATTTACAATTTTGTGAAACGGGGCCTAGATATATATACATTTATAGTCACAATGCCGTAACAAATGGACCTCGTGAACATTCTTAAAGCAGAAATTGAGAATATGTTGCTGGAAAAATGTTTTTTAAAACTCATAATGTCCTTTTTGGCTGTATATACTCAAAAGAAATTGAGTGAGAATTCCTCAAAGGCGTATCTGCAATTTTGCAGCTATTCGCGGCGAGAAAGAAATTATAGAACACGCGCGATACACAAAGAACGCTTTTTTTCATACAACAATGATTCATATGTCAGTCAGGCCTGGTAGCTATCAGTTTCAGTGGCAGTGGGATTACTGATGTCACGTAACGTATGATTAATTGTGACGGCAAATAACGTATGGCGTAACACTGCATTGTGATGCAAGTTCGTCTCTGAGAACAGTCGCCGAGACACTGCAAACACAAGGTCCAAAACATAACTACAGCGGAAGCTGTCTAAACCGGCAGTCGTTGGGACTGGAGAAACAACCCGGTTTAGACAATTTGCCGGATTGTAGAGCTGACACGGTTGCGACAAGAACTGAACCAGATTTGTCACTCTCATATAGATTGTTGTATCCCGTGGTTCTCTCAATTACTGCACACAGAAACAATAAAACGCAAAGTCAAATTGTGAACTATAATTACATGTACAAGTATACCCATACTGAACTAAGATTAAATCATCTTTGTCGGCAACCAGGTTGTTCCAACGAAGGATTATCGGTGACAATTTACATCTGGCATGCCACGCGCCGGATTAGACTGTATTAAAACATACTCCTGCAGCTCATTTCATGCTGAGATCCGGAATTGACAGCTGGCTGGATTGCAGAGCTTACAAATGATGATAAATGTACTAGCCACGGAGGGGACTGAGATTTTATGCCAGTGTTGACAACTTGCCGGATTGGACAGCTGCCAGTTTTGACAGCTTCCACTGTATGAAACATGCATGAAATACATCACGATCTAATAACGATTTCTTTATTGTTTTATGTTAGCCACCAGCACACATGTCCGTATGCATGTGTTATTTGGTCCTTTGTTTAGTACAAGCTGTCATAACTCACAAGGTCGCTGCATTTAACACTATTTCAGCGGAGAAAAGTGGAAAATCACAAAGTGCGTGTTACTTTGATGAAACCAGTGGGGAGACATCTCACAGTTTGGATCCTCATACCTCTGGAGCACTCGTGATCCCTTCTGTTGCCTAACCTCCATGAGTGGGTTAGTTGTGTTTTACGCCGCTTTTAGCAATATTCCAGCAATATCACGAGGACACCAGAAAATGGGCTTCACACATTGTACCCATGTGGGGAATCGAACCGGGTCTTCGGCGTGACGAGATAACGCTTTAACCACTTGGCTATCCCACCGCCCCTAATCTCCATGAGAATAATTAAGAATTCGAACTATTCCAATGAAGGCAATATAGCAGACACACAGAATATGTATTAGCATAGATGGTATTTTTGGCATAACGGTTGATCGAACTGTCTATGCATTGTAAACAATAATGTTACTACACCGACGACAGTAAAATACTTCGATTACAATTGTATCTAAATAGTGTTTTTAACCACCAAAACTGTAAAAAAAACCTAATAAAACATCCCTAATGTTCTTAAACGAAACTGAACCCAATAGGTCGCATTTGCCTGGTATGAACAGTAAATGACATGAAAGAAGATTTGATTCCCAGATGTCTACATGAAAGGGATATTGCAAAAGCTTCACAAACAAATGTAAATACCGACACCCTTGACATCACACTCCCACCCTTGACATCACACGGAACATGATGAAGACATCAGCAGCGATAAAGTTATGTTAATATTACATCTGTGATCTGATTTGATCTGTCATCGGGGTTGTGTAAATGACTTTTCGTTAATTGATAACTCTCTGTGTGGCTGTCAGTGTTAGATGGCAGTGTATACACCTCGGTTACTAACGTGTCTTTGATCAATGCAAACACTAAGCTTGACATGCAGAGGGTGGTATCAAAAGTTCTTTACACTGGTTGACGGGTTTGGCGCGGTTAATTCTGTGCCAATTTATTTACGAGAACATATTACTACTTATAGGATAATATCGTCTGGCGTTTGTGTCAGTGATAAGTCACGTTGGTCACAATCAAATATGTGTTTGTGTTGTTTTCGTTTCTTGTTTGTTGTTTTCGTGCGTGTGTGCGTGTGTGCGTGTGTGTGTTGTGCCTGCCTGTCTGTCTGTTTATCCGTCTGCTTTGTAGCATGTGTCACAGTCCCTGAACCGCATTAGTTTCCCTACAGCCTATCCCTGCCTGCAATACTAAAGCCCTAAATGAAGCAAGTCTAGATTTCTTCAGGCTCTAAATCTCCCATCTCACTGGGGTTCCTTTTTAATTTAAATGGGTTTAGTCAAGTTTAGTTGTTGTCAAGGTCAGCGGCTAATTTACTTAGGCACTACTTTTGTTTTGCTCTGTGAAGCGGTGTGGTTGATGGTTATTCAAACATAGTGGTTTACTGACAGTCTGCCATGCATCATCACACCATAGCGCACCACTGCACTGCACTGCACTGCACTGCACTGCACTGTCGCATAGCACCCACCTACCTCCGTCCCACAACACTGTAGTTCACAGTAATGTCAAGTGACGTTCCCAATTCCACAGTACCTGATCGCGAAATGTGGCACAGCAACGTATAGCACAACATACCAGTGAGCCTATCTGCATCGCGCCACCGCAAACTACACCAAATTAAAAAGTCATAACTCTGGTTCACTTTTCCCCACAGAAACAACTTATATGTATACCAGTATACTGAAAGCCAAGTTGTCAGAGTGGGCTCTCCCTTGACAACATTCATGTACCCTCCCACGAATAACACATGGAGTGACACGGCCTCTTCAGTACAGACCAGACCAAAAGTGTATTACACTCAGTTCGTATAAGCGATCAAAAGAATTTGATTTTTCAACGCTTTAAGCAGAATACATCCATATAAATACCAGCAGAATGCCACCAGTGATACCAGCAGACCACCAATGATACCAGCAGAATGCCACCATGATACCAGCAGAATGCCACCAATGATACCAGCAGGAGACCACCAATGATACCAGCAGAATGCCACCAATGATACCAGCAGGAGACCACCAATGATACCAGCAGGACCACCAATGATACCAGCAGGGGACCACCAATGATACCAGCAGGGGACCACCAATGATACCAGCAGGAGACCACCAATGATACCAGCAGGGGACCACCAATGATACCAGCAGAATGCCACCAATGATACCAGCAGGGGACCACCAATGATACCAGCAGAATGCCACCAATGATACCAGCAGGAGACCACCAATGATACCAGCAGGGGACCACCAATGATACCAGCAGGAGAGACCACAGCACCAATGATACCAGCAGGAGACCACCAATGATACCAGCAGAATGCCACCAATGATACCAGCAGGAGACCACCAATGATACCAGCAGAATGCCACCAATGATACCAGCAGGAGACCACCAATGATACCAGCAGGAGACCACCAATGATACCAGCAGAATGCCACCAATGATACCAGCAGGAGACCACCAATGATACCAGCAGAATGCCACCAATGATACCAGCAGGAGACCACCAATGATACCAGCAGAATGATACCACCAATGATACCAGCAGGAGACCACCAATGATACCAGCAGGATGCCACCAATGATACCAGCAGAATGCCACCAATGATGATACCAGCAGAATGCCACCAATGATGACCACCAATGATACCAGCA